ATCATCATCATCATCATCATCATCATCATCATCATCATCATCATCATCATCATCTCATCATCATCATCATCATCATCATCATCATCATCATCATCATCATCATCATCATCATCATCATCATCATCATTATCAGCATCAGCATCAGCATCATCATCATCAGCATCAGCCTCATCAGCATCATCATCATCAGCAGCAGCAGCATCATCTTCATCATCATCATCATCATCATCATCATCATCCTCATCATCATCAGCATCATCATCATCCTCATCATCATCATAATCATCATCATCAGCAGCAGCCGTAGCAACATCAGCCGCAGCAGCAGCCTCACCGTCAGCATCATCATAATCATCATCGTCATCATCATCATCATCAGCAGCAGCAGCAACAGCAGCATCCCCATCATCATCATCATCGTCATCAGCATCAGCGTCAGCATCAGCATAATCATGATCATCATCAGCATCATCATCATCATCATCGTCATCATCATCACCAGCGTCATCATCATCACCAACAGCCTCATCATCATCAGCAGCAGCATCAGCATCATCATCATCATCAGCAGCAGCAGCATCATCAGCAGTATCCTCATCATCAGCATCGTCATCAGTATCATCATCATCATCATCATCATCATCATCATCATCAACCTCATCATCATCATCAGCATCATCAGCATCATCATCATCACCTCAGCATCATCAACAGCAGCATCATCATCAGCCGCATCAGCACCAGCAGCAGCATCAGCAGTAGCATTACCATCATCAGCAGCATCATCAGCATCATCAGCAGCATCATCAGCAGCATCATCATCATCAACAGCAGCAGCATCATCAACATCGTCACCGTCAGCATCACCAGCATCAGCATCAGCATCCTTAACAGCAGCATCATCATCGTCATCGTCAGCATCGTCAACAGCAGCAGCAGCAACAGCAGCATCACCATCAGCAGCATCATCATCATCAACAGCAGCATCAGCATCATCATCATCATCAGCATCAGCATCATAATCATCTGCAGCATCCTCCTCATCATCACTATCAGCATCATCAGCAGCAGCATCATCAGCGTCATCAGCATCATCACCACCACAACCATCATCAGCATCATCAGCATCATCAGCATCGTTATCATCCATCGTCATCATCAGCATCATCAGCATCATCAGCATCACCATCATCATCATCATCGTCATCGTCAGCATCAGCATCATCACCATCACCACAACCATCATCGTCAGTATCAGCAGCATCAACATCAGCATCGTCAGCATCATCATCAGCAGCAGCATCATCATAATCATCATCACAATCGACATCAAAAACATCATCATCATCATCATCATCATCATCATCAGCATCATCATCATCAGCAGCACCATCATCATCATCATCAGCATCATCATCATCCGCATCATCCCCATCATCATCGTCATCATCATCCTGACCATCATCATCGTCATCATCAGCAACATCATCATCATCATCATCAGCAGCAGCAGCATCAGCAGCGTCATCATCACCATCATCGTCATCATCATCATCACCATCATCATAATCATCATCAGCCTCCTCCTCCTCCTCCTCATCCTCCCCTCCTCCTCCTCCTCCTCCTCCTCCTCCTCCTCCTCCTCCTCCTCCTCCTACTCCTACTCCTACTCCTACTCCTACTCCTACTCCTACTCCTCCTCCTCCCTCCTCCTCCTCCTCCTCCTCCTCCCTCCTCCCTCCTCCTCCTCCTCCTCCTCCTCCTCCTCCTCCTCCTCCCCCTCCACCTCCCCCCTCCTCCTCCGCCTCCTCGTCCTCCTCCTCTTCCTCCTCCTCCTCCTCCTCCTCCTGCTCATCCTGCTCCTCCTCCTCCTCCTCCTCCTCCGCCTCCTCCTCCTCCTCCGCCTCCGCCTCCGCCTCCGCCTCCGCCACCTCATCCTCCTCCTTCTCATCGGCCTCCTCCTCCTCCTCCTCCTCCTAATCCTTCTCCTCCTCCTCCCCCTCCTCCTCCTCCTTCCCAAGAGCCTTCAGATCCCCAGAAATTCAAATCTTCGCAATACAAGTCAAAGAAAGACCCCTGGTCGCCTGGGCTGCGGATTCCGCAGCCCAGGCGACCAGGAACCCCGAAAACTCTGCACCCCTCAGAATTTCAATAGAAATCTTTAAGATACCAAAACAATCAGATCACACAAAGATCTAAAAACCAATGAGATCTGTTGTATGAAATGAAAATTACCTGGGGCATTGGAGTCCGCAGCCCAGGCGACCAGGAAACCCGAAAACTCCAGGTCCACCATAATTCCACCAATTGTGAATTCTTCAAACCCCAAAAACATTTCACGACCCCCGGAACGTGTCTCAAACTTATAAACTTTCCTCCAACAACAAATTTCCAGGGACCCTGGAGCCCGCAGCTCACGCGACAAGAAATCCCGAAAACTCTGGACCCCTCAAAAATTTCAAACTTGAAGGAAATTGAGATATTTGTTTTACCAAAAACTATATCCAACTGAAAAATCAGGGCCACCGAAATTCTAAACCTCAAGCATTTTGAGAATTAAATTTCCGGGGGCTCTGCAGTCTGGAGTCCGCAGCCCAGGCGACCAGGATTCCCGAAACTCCGGCCCCCTCTCAGTTTCAAGAATTCTAAAAATTAGAAATATTCCAAATTTCAAGACCCCCGATGCTTGCTTCAGTTTGTTATCAAAAAATCAGGGGCACTGGAGCCCGCAGCCCAGGCCAAATGAAATCCCGAAAACTCTGGACCCCTCAGAATTCAAAATTAAAGAAAAATGGGAATGCTTCTTGCACAAATGGGATGAACAGAAATCATGGTCCCGAGATTCTTCGAAACCTTAAGCATTAGAAGTTTTCAAATTTCCAAGGGCCCTGGAGGCCGCAGCCCAGACGACCAGGAATCCCGAAACACCTGGACCCATCCGAATCTCCAAACTAAATGTTTTCCAAATGTGAAGAAAAGTTTGTTCTCCAACATGAACCAACCTACCAAAAAAAGGAGCCCCGAAGATGGCAAATTTTATTAACTCTCCATGGGCCCTGGAGCCCGCAGCCTAAGCGACCAAGAATCCCGAAAAACGCCGAGGGGGATGACTGATGAGGGTGATGGTAGATAAGGAGGGGAAGGTGGAAGAGGAGGAGGAGGAGGAGGAAAGTCCTCAAGGTGATAGCCCGTCGTAGTCGTACGTACCCCTACCTCTCTCCCTCCCTCCCTTCCTCCCTCCCTCCTCCGCCCGGAGCTCTGAACGAGATCCAGCGCCTTTCCCCACGGCCCCTCAAACGGAACAGTTTCCCCTCCATCCATCCCTCCGTCCTCCATCCTCCCTCCTCCTTCTGCTCCATCCATCTGCCTTGTGACCAGCTCCCCCCCCGTCTCGCTACCAGACGCACTCGAGACATTCCCTACAACCGATAGTCTGAGAGCTGCAGGAATGGAGAGCCAGTGGTTACAAGAATGCCTCTCGCCTCAGCGCCGCGCGCTTTCGTTTCAAGAGCTTCCAGGAGGTACGAGGATGGAGGCCGGCGCGTTTTCAAAATGCGACTATCGCCGTGGCGCCGCGCACACGCGTCTGAAAAACAGATCAGTTACAGGGAGGGGGGGGGAGCTTTCGTCAAAATAACCCCAAGTACCTTCGCTTCCAAAAAAAAAACAATCATCATAAGGATGGAGGCCAGGTCGGTTTCAAGTGAAGCTCTCGCTTGATGCGTCCTCATATTCTATGACACGAGATTCCAAAATGTGCAACCGCTCTACAGATGGAGGGCGACTCCGTTTCAAGAAAGGCTAAGGCTATCGCAAATGGCATCCATAGATTGTATGATCAGGCCACTGACCTTGTGCACCACTTCTACGAAGGACTGGCTGATCCTTTTCGAAACCGGACACCTCAGGGAGCTTCATCGAACTCCAGACCTGTGGCGACTCGGAGAAAGTCGCACCATGAATTGTTCGCAATGCTTGCCCTCCGGAAACCGGTCGGGACCATCGTTACAAGTTAAAGCTACTCTGGACCAGCGCAAAAAAAGCGAAGAATCAACATGCTGATCACTGCAAGAGGCTCCCGATAGATACTCACACACTGGAAAACATGTTTGGTCAGCAGCTCGTTGCGTACCTGCGGCTAAACTAACAATCCAGTCGACATATCGAAAGACTGTCCACACGCGAGCAAGGCTGGATAATCACGCAGACGTTTCCCAAGAACCGCAAATACCATGCAGGGTGCCAAATCTGTAATCGACAGCCGGCCCAGACACGGAAACGCACTGGCCAGACAAAACGAACGACTAACGGCTGGAGGCCAGCGCAAGGGGAGAAGAGGAGCAGCAGCAGCGAGAGCAAGCGCAGCAGCCGGGACAGGCAGACAAGGGGGGGGGGGACAAGGAGGGGCGAGAGCGGGCGGCTCGATAGGCCATCGCAGGTCAGAACTCGAAACACCAAACACCTGCGGGGAACAGAATTCAAAGGATCATACCTAAAGGCGGATGAACCTCTGCAGGGTGTCCGATACCCCACCGTCGATTGAACCCGCAGGGGCAGGGTTCGTAATGGGCTGCAGACTCAAGGCGCGTCCAAAAGTACGTCGGATTTGATTGGTCAGCGGCTTGTCAGGTCTGAGCTCGACCGAATCGCGAAACTGCATCAGACTGGAAACACATCGGATCACGTCCAAATCGTCACGGAATCAGATCGGAATCGGACAAGTTGGGCTCACTGATAGGGCGCGGATCGAGATCCGAATCGGCGTTCCCAGAACTCCAACGTCGCGATTTGGTTGCAGCGTGATTCCCAGAGGCCTCGACCCCTTCCTGGGGACTGCCTGTTCATCCTGAATCGTTTCCGACGGTCCTGGTGCCTGGTGAGAGGCCCCTGGAGGCCGAAAACAGCCAAAAACCCGCCGTCGCGATTTTTCCACAACTCGGGGAGGATTTTGGGGGCAGGGTCGAATCGAGTCGGACCGCGAGCAGCCCTGCCCGCCCCGCCCTGGCAGCGGCCGCCGCCCCAGACACGCCGAGGCCGAGCGCGGCTGCAGCGGCGACGCAACGGGGCGCGGAGGGGCACCTGCAGGACGTGCCGTTTCTGCTCCTCCTCCTCCTCCTCCTCCTCCTCCTCCTCCTCCTCCTCCTCCTCCTCCTCCCTCCTCCTCCTCCTCCTCCTCCTCCTCCTCCTCCTCCACCTCCTCCTCCTCCTCCTCCTCCTCCTCCACCTCCTCCTCCTCCCCCTCCTCCAAACCTCCGGCATCAGTCACAGGTTTCATACGGCATCGGTCTACTACGAAGGACCCTGGGGGGTCCGAAGCGGCAGGGGAACAATGCCCCTGCCGATAACACAGACCACTGATGCTACAGACCCAGACTTCGCCAGCGCTGCTGTTCACCACCTGCATTTCTTAAGTTTGAGTGGTCGCTGCATGTTCGCCCGAAAAAACACAAGCGTACAACACATTGTCCGCAACTACGATGTCGCATGCTTCAGCGAGTTTTACGTGTCGAGCGCTGTTGCACAAGATGCTTTCTTCTCGCATGTCGGTGGAATTAATTCCCTCTTCCACCGCAATGGACGTTTCCCAGGCATGGCCATCAGCGTCAGCGAACGATTAATGGCGACGCTTGACATTGAGGGAGAGGAGAGCCTTTTGAATCATCACGTCATTTTGGTTGTGAGCGCAGCTCATGCATTCTTCTATGAAGTCGGTAGTTGCACACGCTTGTATGTTAACATGTACCTCGATAGCCATTCCCACGCGACTCGGACACGGCAGGTGCGAGAACTGGTTCGTGCCATTCGTGCGTTTTCTGTGGAGCGCGTAGGCGGCAGGCTTAAATGCACCTTCGGCGGGGATCGAAATTTTGTCGTTCAGCCGGAGCAGCGGTCGTCCTCATCCGCTGGATCCTGGCACCCAGGACGACGCCTTCGAGGCATGGGAAGATCTCCTCGCCCTTACCAGGGCTCCCCACAGAGGTGAGATAGAGGAGCATACTTTTAGACGGGCTGGGGTCACTCGCGCGGGCGCTCGTTGGTACATATCTGAAACACTTGACTTCGCCAGAGTCGGTTGTGACTATTGCGGCATGCGCACAAACAGCAAATGCTCACGTTGCGAGGGGAATGCCATACCCGAACGCATCCGATCACCTGCCTGTGGGCGTCACTTTCCATAAGCGGCCCCAGTGTCGCAAGACAAGATCAATCCAGGCAGAGGCGTGCAAGGCCATGCCAGATTGATTAGTATACGACGAGCACTGTGTGCAATTGTTTGCTGAAGACGTTCAGTCGTGGCTGCCCTGGAGGGCCACTGGATTGGACGCGCTTTGCGAATTCAAAACATTGCTCAGGAGTGCGCGAAATCATTCATGTAGGAAGTCTGGGGCGCTGCGAAACTTGCGACCCACATGTTCGATGTCACACTTGCCGCTTACACGGCCGCCCGGATGGGAGGCTCCCTCCAAGTGGTTGAAACTGTGCCCTTTTCTTTCGCCCCTGGTTGAAGCGGAGTTTCAATATGCCAATTCCAGTGTCATCTTGCGAGGAGCGGAGACTTTGCGCCAGCTTCACGGGGAGGTGCTGCGAAAATAGGCTTTAGAGGAAAAGGTCGCCGGGGGCCCGAAGGCCAGCGAGTTGACAGCAGCAGTCGGCGACAATGTTTCTGCTGGCAACACGCTCACTGGAGCCAAATCGCACCCGGGGGTAGTTCAACGATTGAAGGCACTTTGCGTGCACGAACGATTTCATGTCACAGAACTGTGGGACAACAGCGCGGGCTGGCACGTAACACCGACTTCTGAAAGTGGCAGGTGTTTGAAAGAGCATGCTCGTGAACTTCAGGGGAGCTCACGCGGTGACAGTACACTTTTCTCGCAGATGCTCCAAGGGTGAAACCTGGACTTGAGCGATGCTAAACTTGCTCTCTTTGAAAGCGAGGTCCTTGACATCGCGTTGGCACTGCCGGAACACAGGGCCCCAGAGACCTCAGGAGGGAGGGGCAGTTTGTACACATTGCACGCTGACGTGTTGAGCACAGCTTTTGTAAAAGCTCTCCGTGAACCGACGCACGAAGAGCGCGACGCGCCGTCTCACATGACCGATTTTCTGTGGCATGCAATTCCTAAGAGGCAGGGTGCTGATACCACTGCGTTGTTGCGCGATCGAGAGTTTCCGAACGAAAACCCCAAATCCTCGGCCGCCTGCTGTGCCGAATCCTTGACCAGGCTGCGGCTGTGCAGCTCAAGTGGAGACAACAGGCCTTTGTAACGGGAAAGCGGATCGAGCGCAACATTGCTGAAATCGGAGAAGCCATTGGCACTGACCGTGGCGACGCGGCTGCGCTCAAGTATTTCCTGTTGTTTGATTGTTCGAAAGGCTTCAATATGTTGTCCTGGGGGTGGGTCAACGCTGCATTCGTTCACGCGGGCCCCCCGGAGCAGCTCTTGAGAGACACCCAACGGCTACTGCACACGCACTGCGCGTTTTCAACGTGGCCAACCGACATGTTTCCACCTGTGTGCTTCTTCGCTGGGCACTCGCAGGGACATCCGCGATCTGTGTTCATACATATATATGCATATAATCGCAGACGACCCATTCCTTGCGTGGCCTGCGGCGTTACGCGGCGTTCTCCATGTGTGGGGGTTTTGTGATGGTTGGAAGCTTGTCTTTGATGCAAATCGTGCTATGGATGAGCTCGTTGCCATGTTTGACACATTTGAGCGCGCGTCTGGCCAGGTCTTCGACCGGAAGGAGACTGCATGGATGCCGAGTCGCACGCTGACTGATTCGGACGAAGCGTAGCTTGCAGCAAGACGGCAAGAATCCAACATCGCAACGCGTCATAAGTCCCTAGGGTTTTGGTCCGGGTCCGATGCCTCTCAGACGGATCTTCTACACGATCCGCTCATCAAGCTACTGCATCGCCTGTCCATGCTCCGCAGCGGCCACACGAGCCTCTCCACGAGGTTTCTGGCCTGGAACGTGGAACGTGTTTGCTGCCCCTCTCTTGTCAGGCGTAATGCAATTATGCTTGGTTTCGCGGCAGATCTCCCATGAAGTTCGCGAGTTAGCTTTAGCGTTTTTCGAGAGAGTTCGGTGGACACCTGTTCATGTGCTTGTGCCACGCGGAAGCATGGTTCAAAATGAAGCTGGAATCCCAAGAGCCATTCTTCATGAACGTGGCAGCCCTGATTGCCACAGCCTGGAGGCTGGGACACGCTGGAGGAATACAGCCAGATCGCACGGTTGGGTGGGAGCGTGATCAGCGAACTGCGTCATTGCAGCGGCACTTGGGCGGACTGCGTCCGTTTCGGGGATGGACGGACCCCCCTTTAGTAAAACGTGGTTTAGTGAAAACGACCTGAGGCCCAAACCTGGCGGGCGCAAGCCTGGAAAATAACGGCCACGGCGCCCTCTCGAGGACCGAAGACGGACAATTCACTAATCGACGTGTCACTGTTGGGGGTTCGGTGTCTACCGCGCCATCGTCGGCAGCACCGTGAGCGAAGTGCTGGCTATAAGGCTTCGGGGAGGGGCCGCGCCGTGGACAAGTGCATATGTCGTCTGGTGCATCGGGCGCTCCACTCTTCCGAACCTGGGTGTGTGCCAAGAGCACCGCTTCCGGGAGCCCGGGGCCTCTCCTGGGCGCCGATTGGGCGGAGTTTGCGTCACACGTCATCTTCTGTGCCTGGAAGACATCGTGTCTCGCTCATGCGGCGGCGACTGAACGGCGAATTGACCTCGTGCCGGCTCGCGGCGGTTTGGGGACAGCCGGTTCAACCAGGCCCTTCCTGCGGAATTGAGCACGGCGATTGAACAAGGCATTGGGATGAGTGCTGTGTCTTACTTTCTGTTCGCAAGGGCCTTTCCCTGGAGTACGCGCAACTGAATGTTGGCCAGCTCTGGCTGCAGGAGGCAGTTGTCGGCGGCGGGGTGCTGTAGAGCGTCCTTGCATACACGAGCGCGGTGGTGCGATTTCACAAACTCCTGCTCCACCCCGGCGCTACTTTTTACAGCCTTGAAGATATGATACGCGATGCTCGGTACTTGAGCAAGGACCCGTGGATTATGGGGTCCCCAGTCGAGGGCACGCGCGCCGAGCGGCGTGCCCTCCGCGCGAGACCTCCCGCATACGCTGAGATGGTGGGTCGTCAACGTGTCGGACGCAGCGAGCCGGCGTCAGGGGACAGCAGAGGCGAGTTCATCTTCATGTGGTTGTGTTCGTTACGCCGAAGGCAGCTGGCGCGTCGTAGCTTCCCGCGGCGAAGAATTTGGAAACGTCACGAACAATGTTGCGGAATACACTGGCCTGTTGGAAGATCTGCAGCATGCCTTTCAGTACCCTGCCGAGCAAATGCGTTTTCAAGTCGACTCCTTGTTGCTTGCTCGTCAGGTCATCTGCCAATGGCGGTATCGTGCGCTTCCGTTGCGGCCGCTCCTCGAGACAGCCCTTCGGAGGTTGCGAGTGTTGCGACGATTACCTGTCGTGCGCGCGTATAAGGTCATCCACGTTTACAGAGAAATTAACGTTGATGCCGACGCCGTGTGCAAAACTGTCCTGGATATGGTCGCTGACGGCATCGCGCCAGACCGCATGGGTCTGCATGTTTCGCACAAGTGGGATCCCTTTGTTGCCTCAGGCGCCTAACCTTGCTGTGAATCGGTGCAGACACCAGGCCACTACGAGTCGGCCGCTGCTCAGCTGAGCCGCCTTGTCCACTGCCGCCCGGACAGCTGTCTGCTCCGCGGGAGGCCAATCTACGATTGACGACACATGAAATGCTAGGCCGCGTGCCCCGTTACACGGCACGCGCAATAACTGATGGCGAACACCGCGAATGCGTTCGACGAATTTTTCATCGCAATGACTCTTACAGGCACTCTCTCAGCGGGTTACGTTTTGACTTGTACATTGTGGACATACTTTATTTTCTATACCTTCCTCCTTGCCTCCGTTTAGATATTGTGTTCCCGTCGTCCTCCTTCCTCCTCTGTAGATACGAGACTGCCGGGATCACTTCCAGCATACCATGGGTCCTTGTGACCGTTTGACATGTTCACCACCTCCACGAGGT